CTTAAGAATTGGCCTTCTTTTTAATGAAGAGAGTGAGGGGTCCATATGACCTTAAACTGGGCCTCATGAAAAATACTTAGGGGACCTAACCCATTATTTATGTATTGAGGAGCTAGCCCTTATTCTATAAAAGAGACTCCCTCACTTTCATTAGAGAACACTCATAAAAAATACTTGGGGGACTTAGCACATTATTTATGTACTGAGGAGCAAACCCTTATTCTATAAAAGGGACTCCATCACTTTCATTAGAGAGCACACATTCTTTATGTACTAAGGAGCGAGCCCTTATTTTATAAAAGGGACTCCCTCACCTTCATTAGAGAACATCGCCGCCAGCTGAGCAACCGCCTCGCCGCGAGCATCAACTCTAGCCTATCATTTATGTATTGAGAAGCGAACCCTTATTCTATAAAAAGGACTCCCTCACCTTCAAACGCCACAAGCCGAGCCAACCAAGGCAATATAAGCCACAAGCCGAGCAACCTCACAACATGTGCTACTTCTAGTTGAGCATCATTTCAGATCAACCTTCGCCTCATCTTCGAGAAGTTCTTGATCTCGACCTCGCTCCCTCCAGTTAACTACCAGTCAAGTCACTGCTCCAGCTTTCCCACACCTCTCCCGCACTCAGATCTTCTTTGCTGGCCAATCGTAGATTCAAACCGCCGCATGATGGCCAAAAAGCAATTAGAACCTGAACAGATTTCGCTGGCGAACGTAGTTTTTCTCGGCGCTCTAGCTCCCAACGTTAACCGTCCGACATGGACGACGCTAAGATTTGCGTTTGTGATGTTGGGTGTGTGCTTAGCTGTGATGTTGGGTTCGACATTCTCTTCTAGTGACTCTTTATCCGATCCAATTCACCGATCTTCCACAAGTTCAAGTCCCCGGTTGACTCCAATCCCACTCCAAATTTTTTCGTCAAAAGTTATGAAAGTCCACCCCTCAGCGACTGCTCCAAATATACCGCAAATTTCGCTGCTTCAAGTGGCGGTCGTGGGAAGCCAAAGCAGCAGGAAATCGAGCATCCTCGAAGCCCTTATTGACCGCGACTTCCTGCCCCGCGGCCCTAACATCTGCACTTAGGTTACAAATATACACCCACCTGATCTTTCTAGCCCCTTATCTGTCTCTTCACGTATTGGCACCCAGTCAGCAGGCAGTGCCCAGTCAGCAGGCGGTGCCTTATCTGTCTCTTTATCCTGATTTTTGTTTTCATAAGCTATTTCTGCTTTCTCTGTCTTTCTCTCTCGATCTCGATCTTGATCTCCATTCTCCAAGGCTGAACCAAGTGTTATAAACTTGGCTTATTTAAGATTCAGTGGACCCAACAGATTTCTGGGTTTGTGAGTTGAAGCCATTCAGGTACAACCGTGCAGGTCCAGGTCAGGCAGGTTGATGAACTTTGAAGGAAGGGAATCTCAACAACAAGAAAGAGTAATCAATCGAGAAAGAAATGGGTGGGAATAGGAAGGCGTTGGGGACGACATGGGAGTTCTTCAGGAGGAGGGATTCCGCCATTGGTTGCGCTTTCGCAGATCTGGAATGATCAAAAGCAAAAAGCAGAAAAACAAAAGCAATCAAGTGAGCTGCGGCACAAAAGCAAAAGAGAGAGGCGCAGCGGAAAACCAAGCAGAAGATAAGCTGTCTTACAACAATTCCATTATTATTCCGCTTTGGCGTTGTCTGCCATCTGCTAAAAGAGAAAAGATAAAGAAATGGAATGGGAAAAGCAAAAGCAAAGCAGAAAAACAAAAGCAAGGAATAAACACTTACACTGCAAAAGCAAGGAATAAACACCCTACCAGAATGATATGATTTACTTTTCTTATCTTTGAATGATGTGATTTACTTTTCTTATTTTGTGGAGATATCTGTATAAACCCCATCAGAGGGTAATAAAAAAAAAAGGGGGCAAGCCCAAAATAATGGGCTGGAATGTTATGTGGAGGGCCAATGCCCATATGCCCAAAGGAGCCAGACCTTCTATTATCATCAACCAGGTGATCAAAAGTACGTCTAGTACCACACAAAAAATTATTCGGCACCCTGCCGCTATTATCACCAACCAGGTGATCAAAAGTATGCCCAGTACTCCAAAATTATTCGGCAGCGTGCCGCTATTATCATCAACTAGGTGATCAAAAGTACGTCCAATACTCCAAAATTATACATGAGCATTACTCATGTCAATCATACATAAACATTTCATGAGCGTCACTCATGTCAATCATACATAAACATTCATGACCATCATTCATAAGCATTACTCATGCCAACATTCATGAGCATCACTCATGTCAACATCCATGAACATCACTTATGTCAATCAACATAAACATTCATGAGCACCACTCATGTCAATCAACTTCAAAAGCTTTATTTATAGAGCTCTAGCTTCAAAAACTTCATTTACAGAGCTCTAGCTTCAAAAGCTTCATTTGCAAAAGCTCTAGCTTCAAAAGTTTCATTTACAGAGCTCCAGCTTCAAAAGCTTCATTTACAAAAGCTCTAGCTTCAAAAGCTTCATTTACAAAGCTCCAGTTTCAAAACTTTACTTGCAAAGCTTTACCTACAAAGCTTCAGTGCAGGGTATACAAATACCACCTCCGAACAACTGCCACTTCGGCCCATACATGGATTCAATTTGAAGTCTCCAGCCAACATACCCTATTGACTGAAGGCTTAGAGGACTACATTATATACCATATATTGGGCCTTAAACTGGGCCTCATGAAAAATACTTGGGGAACCTAACCCATTATTTATGCATTGATGAGCGAGCTCTTATTCTATAAAAAGGACTCCATCACTTTCATTAGAGAACACTCATGAAAAATATTTGGGGGACTTAGCCTATTATTTATGTACTGAGGAGTGAGCCCTTATTCAATAAAAGGGACTCCCTCACTTGCATTAGAGAGCACTCATTCTTCATGTACTGAGGAGCGAGCCCTTATTTTATAAAAGGGACTCCCTCACCATCATTAGAGAGCATCGCCGCCTACTGAGCAACCGCCTCGCCGCGAGCATCACTCTTAACCCATTATTTATGTACTAAGAAGCGATCCCTTATTTTATAAAAGGGACTCCCTCACCTTCATTAGAGAACATCGCCGCCAGCTGAGCAACCGTCTCGCCGCGAGCATCAACTCTAGCCCATCATTTATGTATTAAGGAGCAAGCCCTTATTCTATAAATGGGATTCCCTTACCTTCAAATGCCACAAGCCGAGCCAACCAAGGCAACATAAGCCACAAGCCGAGCAGCCTCACAACATGTGCTACTTCTAGTTGAGCATCATTTCAGATTGAGCACCGCCTCATATCGAGTATTCAGTTCAAAACGACATCTAGTTACTTTGGCCCACACATGGACTAAATTTCAAGTCTCCAACCAAAAGACTCTCTTGACTGAAGACTTGGGGGACTATTGTTTGTACCATACTTAGGGCCTCCGTATTTAGATCTCGTATAAATACTCGGGAGACTCAAATGTAATTATGTAATCAAGGAAATGGCAAATATGTAATAAGTGAGGAGCCCTTATTCTATAAAAGGACCCCTCACTCTCCTCATTAAAAAGAAGGCCAATTCTTAAGCCTTCTCACATCCCCTAAGCTCAAAGCTCTCTCAAAGCTCTCTCTCATATTCAGAGCTATCTCTCCCTAAGAAATACAATATCAGTGTGGATGTAGCCCAAACATTGGGGTGAACCACGATACATCTTGTGTTATTTACTTTCTTGCAGATTCACGGTCGGATTTACGTTGTTCCAAGACCTCTCCGGTTTTGTGCATCAACAAAAGGTAAAGTGAATAGTACCAGAATTGATTTTTTAGTATAAAAATGTGGTTTTTCGTTAAAATGAATAGTACCGGGAGCTTTTGTTAAAGTTCCCTTAATTTTTTAGCCCTTGATTATTAAAGAATCAATTTATGCTAATTTTTAACTTTTGTTTAAAAAAATTATGTAAACTATCCTAATTTAATTTTATAAACATTTTTATCTAAAATATTTAGATTCCGATAAATATTGAAAATCACTAAACCGACACCATGAAACTCATGAAACACTATGAATTTTAAAGTGTGCTACTAAGTATTGGTCTTTCTTTGTTGAAAAGTGTGCTGCTAAGAAAAGTTGGGAGAATTGTAGGAGAAAAGTGTTTTGTGTGAATGTTTGAACAAATACATAGATATTTATAGAGTTTCTGGTGAATGTTGAGTTAAATATATTTTTTTAATTATTTTAACCATTAAATTTAAATTTTGGTCGTTAGATTTTTTTTATATAGATTAAATTTGATCATATTAGATTTCAACCGTTAGATTTAATAAATTTATAAATATAAAACAAAACATTAACTCACTTAAATATACGGTTGGATCCAACAGTCCATTTGAATGTCTGCCCTTGGATTAAAACAAAAGAGCTGTTAGGCTCATTAATTGAACAAACAAGTGGACGACAAACCTACATGGGTGGGGTCCAAAGCTGCGGTGCATGGGTGTGTTACTCGTGCGCATGTCTCACTTGGGCGTTTGTGTTTCAACGCCTATCTTTCACTCGCACAAGTGAGCCACACCACTAACCCAAATTCAAAAACTAGCCGGAATTTGCCCCAACTTTGAGTTTTAACCCAAAATAAAATTTTGGGCCAAGGATTAGAAGCCAAATTTTGAGACTTACTTCAAAGATTGGAGTGGGTATAAAGGTTTGTATATCTGTTGTTGAGTTTTATTTTTGTTTTAGTAATGGGCCCATCGAATCGGCAATAAAAGTAAATGAATCTGGGTATTCGTCGAATCCTCTTTGTAAGAATTTCGGGAATCCGTGAATCTTTTCCGTTCATCTTATATTGTGTGGTCAAAAATCATTTTAAATATTTTTATTTAAAATTAAACCCAAACAGTACCTGATAAAAACTGATCGTACGATTTACGATGAACGATATGATATTTATCAAAAGGATCCTCTTGGAAAGTAAATGGCCAATTGTCCAGGTGTTGAGCATTCATTCATGTCCAGTCACTAGACAGAGGTTCTTTCACGGCGGAAAGGAACAGCAGGGAACAGAGTGTGAGAGAGACCTGCAATTGTGTCTGATTGTCTCCGTCAACTTGCCACCGGCGTTAAAATTCTCCTTATCCCGATCGGCGGCGGTGATCGATCTGTAAATGCCATAACAGAATTCGTAAAACCTTTCCATATATTCCGTTTCCGGATAATTACAATTCCTTGTATCATCTATTTTTATTAAATTCTCTCTTTCCCTCTCTGTCTCTGCTCCCCCACCCTCCCACTTACCTGCATTATCTGCCATAATACGACGCCGTCGCCGTTGCACCTTCCGGCTCCACTCAGTCTCCGCCGCGACCTTTCCATTACAGGTAAGCGTCCCTTCACTTCACTCCCCGCATTTCTCTACCCCTCAATTTCTTAGTATTATCATCAATTTTACGTTTTAATCAATCTGTTTGGCTTCCTGGAGGATTATAAGATAATAAATCAACAAAACCACAGCCAAACACTTGAATTAATTAAGTCACACTCGTGTTTGTTACTGTTAGGGTTTTGATTTCAGAAACTAATTGTGTAGAACTGGGAAACAATTCAATTAAGCGCATTCCATTTTGTTTAAAGTTTTTGTTAAATCACTTGTCATTAACGGTGCCGGTGCCAGTGCTTGTGCTTGTGCATCCCTCTCGGGTTTTCTTGATACGAATGCAGTTTAGCTGAGTTGTTATTATTATTATTGTTATTGCATTCAGATTTCAGAGGCCTGAATCAATATAGTTTAGATGGAGGACGAAGAAAAGTCACACAGTGAATCGAATACCAAACAACACGCGTCCAAGGAGGATCAGACTGGGCAGCTACCTCAACTGGAAACCAACGATCAAGTTATGAGGGATGCTACTGAGGACAACCCGCCTACTCATGAGGCAAATGTTGCTGATGTTAAAGTCAATGAGGCTCTTCTTAGTGATGTGCCCATAGAACACAAGGACAATGCCAGCAATGCCAGTGACAGGAATCAGCTTAAAACTGTAGATGATAAACAAGTGGGAGTGGGGGAGTTGAAGAATGGGTTGAACGATACTGAGGTACTCTACTTTGAGTATATACATGTCCAGACAAAACGTTGTTGCTTCTGAATGACTTGACTCAAATGAGTATTCTTAGTCCTGCAAAATTTCTCTTCTTTTCCCTTCACGTTTCCTGTTTCCTTTCCTACAACAATTTTTTTCCTTTTTTAATTTGCAGATGGCTGAGGCTGAGGAATCTGGGGATGGGACACCATCACAGCAAGCAGCATTTATGAAGGAGGTGGAAAGTTTCTACAGGGAGAACACCTTGGAGTTTAAGGCCCCAAAGTTTTATGGAGAGCCGCTGAATTGCCTTAAGTAAGTTTCTGGTTATAATTATTTTCACTATTGAAGTCATGTTTACCTTTTGGGTATAAAAAGGGAGTTATGCATGTCTGAAGGCTGAAATCAGGTGTTGACTAATTTCTGCATACTTTTTGTGCGATGTAGGTTATGGAGAGCTGTTACTAGATTGGGTGGCTATGACGTGGTATGTATACATCTTATTGCATGTTGAAATAATTAAAATTAATACTCAGCATAATCATACATCTGTTGGCTATCATCGAGTTCTGTTATGCATGTGCACAACATTGCAAAGAACGCTTGCACTCAAGCAGATTTTGATTCAAGGCATTACTGGTTTATAAGTTTAAGTGTTTTTACCAAACCATGCCAAGCTTAATAAAGTTATGTTTGTCCTATCACTAATGTATTGTCTGGTGTCAAATGCTGGGATAATATGATGGATGCATGGTCTTTTAATAAATTGTTTTTGTTACTTCAAAATTGACCTGATTGGTTATACTAAATTAGGTGGCAGTTGAAATATAGAATGCTCATTCATGGTGTCTGAGGGAAAGTTCACCAACTATATACAGTGGTTTTGGTAAACTAACTTTGAGAAAATCAGGGTGCTATTATTTCAACAACAACAAAGCCTTATCCCACTAAGGCTAAGTAGTGTCGGCTGTATGAACCTAGAACGCCACTATGCTCGGTTTTGCACCAAGTCTTCCGTTAGCTCCAAGTACTCCATGTCTTTTCTCAAAGTCTCTTTCCAACTCTTCCTAGGTCTTCCTCTACCCCTTTTGCCCTGAGCCTCTATCTCATAATCTCACTTTCTAATTGGAGCATTTGTAGGTCTTCGGTTCACGTCCAAACCACCTTAACCAATTTTCTCTCATCTTATCTTCAATTGTGGCCACTACTACTTTACCTCGGACTTCCTTGTTCTTAATCTTGTCCTTTCTTGTGCGCCCACACATCCAACAAAGCATTCTCTTCTCTGCTACACTCATTTTTTGCACGTGTTGATGCTTGACCCACCAACATTTCGTGCCATAAAGCAGTGGTTTGGTGGTAGGAAGTTTGTGCTGAGCTGTTTCTAAGTACTAGTTTTAGCAGAACTGAGTTGGAGTTCTTGAGTAGAAATCTTCTCCAAGTTCAAGTTCTTGGTACTCTTGGTGGTGTTTCATCTTTGTGTCAATGATGGATACGAGTGGCACTTCCCTAATTTTTTTTTTCTTTTCAAGAAGATAGGTTTGGAGTTATGAATGTCTTTTTAAGTCACTTATCAGTAAGCCATTGGAACAGAGTTCTTTTTTTTTGAGTTGTGTTCTGGACATGTATGAACTTTATGCAGTGGCTTGAATGTAGTCTATTTAATGATACTTTCCTTAATTTGTTTGGGAACTTTCTATTATTTGATTTTCTATTAATTGTGTGATTTGATTTGAGTTCTGTATCACTGTTGGATTTGGACTGACCTCTAGACTTCATGCAACTCTTACTTAAGACTTTGAAATTGGAATAATGTTGACCAGAAAACCTAGCTGACATGGAAGTGGACACTGACATCCTATTTGAATAGTCTTATGCAGGAAGTTGATCATGGCCTTGAATACACGGGAAACTTTATTTTCTTCACAATTTTTGTTTCGTCTATTAATCCATTATTCCTTTGTAGTAAACTTTGCCTTTTCAGCGCATGTTATATTGATGAATGATAGAGGAATGATTGTTACTTTTGTGCTATTAATAAGAGAATATTATTATTTTATTTTATAATTATTTGCTCAAAATTCTAGCTGTCGAGGGTTTACTATTACTAAAGCCATAATTTATAAGCAACAAGTCCTAAGGAGTATTTATAATTTTTCTGAACGCTTGGTCATGTTTAATTTATGAATCTGGATGAAGTTAGATTAATTTATGTTTAAATATTTATTAATTGAGTTATACTATGGCAACTGTAGGTGACTGCATCAAAGTTGTGGCGGCAAGTAGGAGAGTCCTTCCATCCCCCCAAGTAAGGAACATTATTTTTACAGTTGATTTCTAGCAGTCATTTAGGACCTGCATTATTCTTATTAAAAATTCAGGACCTTGATCACTGCTATAAAAGATTTACAACCTTCTGAGATTTGGGAGTTTAGATATCCTACTGTTGCAGGTTGTTGCAAATTTTGGTATGTAAGGTGCATATAGCCTGTGTTCCCAATACAACAACAACAACAACAAAGCCTTTTCCCACTAAGTGGGGTCGGCTATATGAATCCTAGAACGCCATTGCGCTCGGTTTTGTGTCATGTCCTCCGTTAGATCCAAGTACTCTAAGTCTTTTCTTAGAGTCTCTTCCAAAGTTTTCCTAGGTCTTCCTCTACCCCTTTGGCCCTGAACCTCTGTCCCGTAGTCACATCTTCGAACCGGAGCGTCAGTCGGCCTTCTTTGCACATGTCCAAATCATCGGAGCCGATTTTCTCTCATCTTTCCTACAATTTCGGCTACTCCTACTTTACCTCGGATATCCTCATTCCCAATCTTATCCTTTCTCGTGTGCCCACACATCCCACGAAGCATCCTCATCTCCGCTACACCCATTTTGTGTACGTGTTGATGCTTCACCGCCCAACATTCTGTGCCATACAACATCGCTGACCTTATTGCCGTCCTATAAAATTTTCCCTTGAGCTTCAGTGGCCTACGACGGTCACACAACACGCCGGATGCACTCTCTTACACTTCATCCATCCAGCTCGTATTCTATGGTTGAGATCTCCATCTAATTCTCCGTTCTCTTGCAAGATAGATCCTAGGTAGCGAAAACGGTCGCTTTTTGTGATCTTCGCTAGATTGCTCCGGTCATTAGTGTGGATAAGTATATAAATGGATAGAGATAGGAAAGCAAACACAAGATGTACGTGGTTCACCCAGATTGGCTACGTCCACGGAATAGAAGAGTTCTCATTAATTGTGAAGGGTTTACACAAGTACATAGGTTCAAGCTCTCCTTTAGTGAGTACAAGTGAATGATTTAGTACAAATGACATTAGGAAATATTGTGGGAGAATGATCTCGTAATCACGAAACTTCTAAGTATCGGAGTGTGGTGTCGTCTTGACTTGCCTTATCTGTCTCATAGGTAGATAATGTGGCATCTTCTCTGGAAGTACTCTTCCTCCATCCAGGGGTGGTATCTTTAACTGGTGGAGATGCACAAGGTAATGTATCAATTTCACTTGAAGCTTACTTGTAGTCTCAGGCTTGGTCAAGCGCGATACAAAACCATGTAGTAGGAGTCCCCCAAGTCGCCGAGCTAAGGGGTCTGCTGAAAGAGGTGACAGACAAGGTAAGCAATCAGAGCTCCGACTGATTGTTCACCTTCTCCCCATCTTGCAGCAGCATGAAGGATAAAGAGAAGAAAAATGAGAAGAGATGATATGAGATACTTTTGCTTTTGAAGAAGTAACTTTCCACAGGCTTATTCTTGAACTGAGCTGGAGGGTTTTCTGGTTTCCTCCAGAGTATAAGGCCGACTGAAGAATTTGAGGGTCAAAACAAGTCCATCAAATCTAGAGTACGTTCCACCCTGCTGATATGGGATACTTTTGCTTTTGACAGAGTAATGGGTGTATCGGCACGTGTGCTGTTACGCTTGTCTCCACATGCTTCCTTGTATCCTTCGCACTTGCCCTATCTGTTCCTCAAGCAGATGCGGAATCTTCCCTGGAAACATAAGATGTTGAAGATGAGTACTCGAGAGCAATGCCAGGTAAGTAATCAGGTAAGGGGTTCCAGGCAGTCAGTTCCTGGCTGGAAGCTTGATCCAAGTGCTGACTGATTGCTTTCTTTCTCCTTGTCTTGCAGGTAAAAACAAGGCCAAAGGAAAAGACAGGGAAAAAGCATGATATGGGATACTCTTGCTTTTAACCCTGATGATATGAGATATTCTTGCTCTAGTATAGCTTGTTTGCAGAGGTATTATCGGGGGAAAGAAAGCTGAATATTTCGAAAGGCTTCGTTGGGAGTGCCCTCTCAGATATGATGAAAGGTTGAGCATTTTTGCAGGTCTGCCTGTCCATTGGGGATGGAGGTCGACATATATAGGAGTCTCCCTAACAACAAGTAGTAATGCTATTCCTTTACCCTGCTTGGTCATAGCACGGTAGTGGGAGCTGCCAGTTTCACATGTTTTAACTCTGTCAGAGCACTTTGAAAAAGTGGTCTGTGGTATCTGGCTCTCGAGATTCGGAGAACGATGCCTTTTCGATTTTTGAGAAAGCAATCATGCTGGGGGTCTGGCTCTCGAGATTCGTAGAGCAGTGTCTCTTCGATTTTTGAGGAAGTAATCATGTTGGGAGTCTGGCTCTCGAGATTCGGAGGGCGGTGCCTCTTCGATTTTGGAGCAAGCAATCCTGTTGGGAGTGTTGTCTCGAATGTGAGTAAAGGTTGGGCATGTTTGCTAGTCTACCTTGCCACGAAGCACAAAGGTTGACACACAGAGACTTTCCAATTATCCAGCAATGGTACTGTTCCTTTACCCTCTCTTCGCTTTTGAGAAAGTAGTCATGTTGGGAGTCTGGCTCTCGAGATTCGGAGGACGGTGCCTCTTCGATTTTGGAGCAAGCAATCTTGTTGGGAGTGTTTTCTCGAAAGTGAGTAAAGGTTGGGCATGTTTGCTAGTCTACCTTGCCACGAAGCACAGAGGTTGACACACAGGGACTTTCCAATTATCCAGCAGTGGTACTGTTCCTTTACCCTTGTGGGTAATAATATGGTAGCTAGACCTTCAAAATTTATGTGTCTAAACTTTGTTAGTGCTGTTTCTTTGCTATTCTTTTACCTTTCTTGGTCAGAGCGATGTAGTGGGGAGCTGCAAGCTTCACGTGCTCAACTTTGGCAGAGAACTTTGGCAAAGTTATCTGTGGTACCCATGAGCTATTGTTGCGTGTGGGAAGTGGGTGATTGAACAGTAAGATTCATGTGCTTTCTACTTCACCAGAAGTCTTCGACAGAATGCCCATAATTTCTGCAAAGCTAAGTGTGCGTGTGACAGGTGCTGACAAGGCTAGAAAAGTAGGTGCCTCTTCGATTTCTGAGATCGGCCCTCGTGGTCTCTGAGCAGCCCAGCTTTTGAGAAAGCGAGCGCCTCTTCGATTGATTCGGAGAACGATGCCTCATCGATTTTTTGAGAAAGCAATCATGCTGGGGGTCTGGCTCTCGAAGATTCGGGGAGCAGTGTCTCTTTGATTTTTGAGAAAGTAATCACGTTGGGAGTCTGGCTCTCGAGATTCGGAGGGCGGTGCCTCTTCGATTTTGGAGCAAGCAATCTTGTTGGAAGTGTTTTCTCGAATGTGAGTAAAGGTTGGGCATGTTTGCTAGTCTACCTTGCCACGAAGCACAGAGGTTGACACACAGGGACTTTCCAATTATCCAGCAATGGTACTGTTCCTTTACCCTCTCTTCGATTTTTAAGAAAGTAGTCATGTTGGGAGTCTGGCTCTCGAGATTCGGAGGACGGTGCCTCTTCGATTTTGGAGCAAGCAATCTTATTGGGAGTGTTTTCTCGAATGTGAGTAAAGGTTGGGCATGTTTGCTAGTCTACCTTGCCACGAAGCACAGAGGTTGACACACAGGGACTTTCCAATTATCCAGCAATAGTACTGTTCCTTTACCCTTGTGGGTAATAATATGGTAGCTAGACCTTCAAAATTTATGGGTCTAAACTTTGTTAGTGCTGTTTCTTTGCTATTCTTTTACCCTTCTTGGTCAGAGCGATGTAGTGGGAGCTGCAAGCTTCACGTGCTCAACTTTGGCAGAGAACTTTGGCAAAGTTATCTGTGGTACCCATGAGCTATATTGTTGCGTGTGGGAAGTGGGTGATTGAACAGTAAGATTCATGTGTTTTCTACTTCCCCAGAAGTCTTCGATAGAATGCCCATAATTTCTGCAAAGCTGAGTGTGTGCGTGTGACGGGTGCTGACAAGGCTGGAAAAGTAGGTGCCTCTTCGATTTCTGAGATCGGCCCTCGTGGTCTCTGGGGAGCCCAGCTTTTGAGAAAGCGAGCGCCTCTTCGATTTCTGAGATCGGCCTTCGTGGTCTTTGAGAAGCCCAACTTTTGAGAAAGCAAACGCCTCTTCGATTTCTGAGATCAACCCTCGTGATCTCTAAGCAGCCCAGCTTTTGAGAAAGCAAACGCCTCTTCGATTTCTGAGCAGGCGCCTCTTCGATTTCCGAAGCTCCGTCGAGTGCAGATTTTTATAGAGGCTGACATTAAGTTCCAAAGCACACTTGAATCTCCACCAGTAGAAGCTTCATTCTTGCACTTCTAAGATCTTGATTTGTCCGACCTCTTCTCTCTTCAACACCTTTGAAAATGTCTGGCCCCTCCGACCGTCGTTTTGACTTGAACCTTGTTGAAGAGGCAGCCCCGCCTTCTCCAGACAACATATGGCGCCCATCCTTCGTCTCCCCTACTGGTCCTCTTACCGTTGGGGATTCCGTGATGAAGAATGATATGACCGCTGCGGTGGTGGCCAGGAACCTTCTCACTCCCAAAGATAACAGACTACTTTCCAAACGGTCTGATGAGTTAGCTGTTAAGGATTCGTTGGCTCTCAGTGTTCAGTGTGCAGGTTCTGTGTCTAATATGGCCCAACGCCTATTTGCTCGAACCCGCCAAGTTGAATCCTTGGCGGCTGAAGTGATGAGTCTCAAACAGGAGATTAGAGGGCTCAAGCATGAGAATAAACAGTTGCACCGGCTCGCACATGACTATGCTACAAACATGAAGAGGAAGCTTGACCAGATGAAGGAAACTGATGGTCAGGTTTTACTTGATCATCAGAGATTTGTGGGTTTGTTCCAAAGGCATTTATTGCCTTCGTCTTCTGGGGCTGTACCGCGTAATGAAGCTCCGAATGATCAACCTCTGATGCCTCCTCCTTCTAGGGTTCTGTCCAGTACTGAGGCTCCAAATGATCCCCCTCCGGTGCCTTCTCTTTCTGGGGCTCTACCGACTGCTGAGACTTCTCCTAAGCAACCTTTGTGAAGGCTCCGTCTTGTGTGTTTATTTTGACTCATGTATATGTACATATTTGTAGCTGATCGGGGATATCAATAAATAAGCTTTCCTTCATTTCAACGTATTTGTGTTAAATACACCAAAGCCTTCTTCGCTAAGTTCTTTGAATTTTCTTTTGTTGAAGCTTGTATGTTGAAGCTTTCTGAGTGGAGCATGTAGGTTGGGGTAGTGTTCCCTTAATTTCCCGAGTGAGGAAAACTTCTCGATTGGAGACTTGGAAAATCCAAGTCACTGAGTGGGATCGGCTATATGAATCTTAGAACGCCATTGTGCTCGATCCTGTGTCATGTCCTCCGTTAGATCCAAGTACTCTAAGTCTTTTCTTAGAGTCTCTTCCAAAGTTTTCCTAGGTCTTCCTCTACCCCTTCAGCCCTGAACCTCTGTCCCATAGTCGCATCTTCTAATCGGAGCGTCAGTAGTAGGCCTTCTTTGCACATGTCCAAACCACCGTAACCGATTTTCTCTCATCTTTCCTTCAATTTCGGCTACTCCTACTTTACCCCGGATATCCTCATTCCTAATCTTATCCTTTCTCGTGTGCCCACACATCCAACGAAGCATCCTCATCTCCGCTACACCCATTTTGTGTACGTGTTGATGTTTCACCGCCCAACATTCTGTGCCATACAGCATCGCCGGCCTTATTGCCGTCCTATAAAATTTTCCCTTGAGCTTCAATGGCATACGGCGGTCACACAACACACCGGATGCACTCTTCCACTTCATCCATCCAGCTTGTATTCTATGGTTGAGATCTGTCATATAAAATTTAGAACCTGCAGTGCTTTGGCATTTGGAGTTTAGCTTTTTTTTTTTCTCTACTGGAGGTCATTTTGGATTTTGGTTTGTAACTTGCATATAGCTCATGTCCCAGAAAGAAAAAGTTTCAGATAACTAACATTGTTACTGCTATGTTTCCATTCTTATCTTTTTATATTTTGGCCAGTAGCTTTGTATAATCCTATGTTGCTGGATGTATTGCAGCTCTCTTTTATGTATTTATTTTCATCTTTTAATATCTGCAAATCCAGTGTTCAATTTAATCTCTCTCTCTCTCTCTCTCTCTCTCCCCCCTTCAGGACGTGCACAACAGTATCTTGGACTTTCCGCATATTTTATGAAAAGGTAATGACTTTTCCGGGGACAAGAGAATCAGCAACTACAAATCTTTTCATAATAGATACTTGATCTTTGGTAACCATTTACTCTTCACGATCACTATAGTACGTGTGCTTCTATTCATTTAGAAATTAGTAATGCTAACTGGGTAGTAGCGACGTGCCGCTTTCATAACATGACGTGGATATTCTAGTTAATGATTTAAAAAACTTTAGAATAAAGTATATTTGTTATTTCCTGTCCACATATGGGGATTGGGGGATATGCTATATTTCTACACTGTGGTCAAAGGTGGAAAACTGATTCTCACAGGGAACTTGAGCCCACTTAAAATGAATTCTATGAATTTGTTACTATTAGACTCTAATTCCCAGGTATATGGTCAAGGATTGTTTCAGTAATTGTATCAAATTGCTAGTTGTTGTGGAAGCTTCGTATTATTTCATGCGTCCTCTGTTCCCTAAGCTTATCAACTTGTGCAGGCACTTTTGGAATATGAGAAGCATAAGAGGAAAATTGGTGAACTTCGACTTCCTGTTGGACCTATCACTCAGTCTACAAGTGTTGAGAAGGAGGTGAATTTTCCATTTGTTTACATTTTAATTCTTCGATTGCATGATTTTCCATTTTTTTTGCTAGGTTAATAGGATTGTTGAATTAACTGACCAGAAAATTTTCATGGTGTTGTAACTGTTGTAGTTGCCTTTCTGAATGTTCAGCATAAGGCCTCTTAACTGCATAGTTGTATGCAACGGACACCTGTCCCTTCCTCATCCATTGACACTTATATTTTTCTTGTGTAGGCAAGTGCTCATCAAGCTCCTGGATCAGGCAGGGCACGAAGGGATGCTGCAGCTCGTGCAATGCAGGGTTGGCATGCACAGCGTCTTGTTGGATATGGTGAGGTTGCCGAGCCTACTATTAAGGTTTGTTGATTCTCTATGTCTCACTATAATGATTGTACTTATTATTGTATGCCTGGAAAAGCTGCACGCCATTTAACACGGTTCAAAATTTTCTTTTGAAATTTCTTTTACTTATAGGACAAGCACTTGAGTTCTATCCCAAAGCGTGAAAAGAATCTTAAAAGCATTGGTATGTTCCCTTGCAATGAAAATTCTTCTGGCTAATCAATATTTTATTGCTAAAATGCATTTACTGTTTACATTGTCTTGTCAGGTTCGGTTAAACACAGGACACCAACAAACCTGGAGCTTTCAACTACAAATATTGAGGCAGATAAGCAGTTAAGATCATTACTTGCTTTTCATTTTTGTAGATATGTTTATTTTGCTATGATTTCTCTGTTCCTGACCAACTCTTCTCCTTACTTGTTCCAGTTGAATATTTTTACTTTCATGCATCGCTAAAAAGTGATGGTGTGTTAACATTCATTTGAAATTTGTGGAGTCTGTTTTGTTATGCTTGAATTTGAATAAACTTTAAGAATAATTGTGCTCAGTTTTTCAATGGTAACTCTCCATTTGCATGTAAGAAGCAAAGGACTTTAACAAAGAAATTGAGATTTTCCTCATTGGACATTTGAGTGCCCTTTGTACATTGGGTGCTGATAGTGGAAGAAATAATATGAACCTTTTAAGACGGCTGTTAATATGTACCGTTCCTTAGCTGACTCAAAAGTTACTCATTCTATAAAGTAGTTTGCTAAGTACATCTCAGATAACAAATTTGTGTGCACGGCTGCATTTATTTATCCTCTTGTTTTTTTCCTCATCAAATCAATGCGACATGGTTTTCATCTGGTAGGGTAGTCACAACTGTTGTTGATCTTGGACCTCCAGCTGATTGGGTGAAGATCAATGTACGAGAAACTGTAAGTGTGTTTGTGTATTCTTTTTCCTAATATGCTTCCCTATATTGTAAATTTTATTGAGTTGCTGGCTATCTTTTGTTGGTCCTGACTACTTTCATCTCTACATTCTCAGAAAGATTGCTTTGAGGTATATGCTTTGGTTCCTGGTCTTCTGCGTGAGGAGGTAAACCCTTGTTACCCTCTTCCTTTCGCTCTTCTATTTACTTCTCTTTTGTGCTGGTTTATATGTTGTATGATAACATGGGGATTTTTGCATGTTCTTTTTTAATAGTTATGATTGATGGCTATGATTAATCAGATGCACTGTTATGGTTATGTTAAGATATTTTATTACCACACTTCTGAAGTTAATTCATTCACAAGTATTATGGCTACTGGTAACGATATTCTTTATATTTATTAAATCTATTGAAAGGCATTAACTGTAATGGTGTGTAAAGGCAAGGCGTTTTAGTCCTGCAAGGCTACGCTTAAGCCTTTCAGGACAGGGATTACTTACTTTAATAAGAAATAAATAAATAATGCATGGTAACAGTACTAACTGTCATTGAAGTATAATACTTAGTCCTCAAAACATAAAACACTCAATTACTCATACTTTAATGAAATCAGAATGAAACAATCCAAGTTGAACCCTTGCTTCTCAAATAATTACGGAATATTTTTTTAGCAAGACAACACTGTCAACATAGCATTACCAACAGATGAACAGATTGAGTTACATATGTAGAAATTATCAACGTTAACAACACAAAACAGTGCAAAATATTAGCTTAGGTCATATATTTATTCAGTTCTGTTCAGACTAAAGTATTAGTCTACTAGACACGTTTGAGGTGGCTGGAATAGAAACATTAACATAATATTAAAGGAAAAACAAAGAAGGAATATAGAATGGAGCTGTTTAGAAGTTGAGCTAATCCTATTGGAGTGTAAAAGAGAAAAGAAAAACAAGGAGTATGGTATGGAGGTGCGTGAAGTGGAGATGGGACTTTGCTGGTTTGCTTCTTGTGGGAGTGAGGCATGGAGGTGGGTTTGAAAGATCTGGGATGCAAAGCTAAGGGGGAGAAGATAAAGGGGAAAACTACATGTTTTAAAATCTGCTTACTAAAAAGAAGACAGCTGTTAGACCTCAACATTCAGTTTTAATAAAGATGTTTGTTTCATTTGAAAGGACATGAGAAATGAACCAAATGGCATTGTAATGCATAAAAATTTCAAAGGATGCGGACTCATCTTCTTTGCGAAACCCTAAACCTCAAACTTTGCAGCCGCCTTGCTTCCATCGTGTATGCCAAATGGGAAGTCAGTTAAAGAAATGGTGCCTAGAGGCAAGTTGTGGTTGTTTTGTCTTAATTCTAGGCTCAGTATTAATCTCCATCTTTGACTGGTTCTTTGCAATGCTAGGCTCAGTATTTTAGTTGGTGCTCCATGATTGGGTTTGCTAAAAGATCCATTGGATGGTCCGCCATCATTCCCTTTCTTTTAAAATTAACTTGTCAGTAAATCAAAGTCTTCAATGGTGGACATCTTCATTGACTGGATGAACTTCTGCCACATTTGAATGTTATTGACACCTCCATGCCTTGAGGTAGTTATACTTGGTAAGCATTTTCACCATGATGCTTTAGTAGTTGAAATGGACACTTTGCCTTTTATTAGTAGAGATGCACATGAATATCTACTTGGGTTTCTTCCAAATTTTCCTAGATAGAGAGGTAGTTGGCACTTTTTACCTTTTCCATTTACCCACACTTCCTCACAATGGACCCAAAATTACCTTTGTCACATCATTCAGGTTTGTATTGATGTTCCGGAAACCATAATAGAGAGCTTCTGCATCATATTGCCGAGGCCTCTGTACTAGCATCACACCATACTTTATCTTGATAAAACTTCGACATAGAGAATGATACAAGGCAATGAACATCGACTTTGACCTCAATCCCTTTTTTGAACCAAGAAAGCCTGTAAAAAGTGGGAAATTCTTAGTTTTAAGTTTGAGCTTGTCAAGCATTTCTAGTGATATTTTGTTATTTAAACTTCCATCAACGATCACGTTGCATAACCTCCCATTGGGAGCCAATCTGGTGTGTTGGTTCACCAGTCTTTGCCTTCAACATATAAAGTCTTCAATCTTCATACTTCGTTGAATCACAAGAGCTTCTATATTATAACTCCATCTATTCATTCTAAACAGGATCTTGATTCTCTGTTTTAAAAATTTTCCAAAAACTGAGCTTGCTTGACAAGATTTAGGAAGTTAATATATGAACATTGCTCGTACATGTCAACTGGGGCACTTGTAATTCTTAGTCAGTTGGTGTTTGAATATCCTTTTTCCCTTTTCAAAAGCCTATGAATTCATCTATTCTCTCCCTTGGACTGGATAGTAAGATGTCTTTGAATTACGACTGACAAAACCATTAGTCGTTTAACTAATTTTTTGCTTTGATGTTTCCGCCTCTGTGGCCAGTTTATAGAGTTCATAATAAGACCAATATGATTGTAATGTGCCCACATCATAAATTTCCGTATGTAATCCTGCTAAGTAACATGTCCATGATTTCGTCCTCCTGTTGATTTAGGCCACAACAAATCATGAGTAAGTCAAAAGAGATTTCCAAAGCCTCGACTTTGTTAGATGGAGAGGAGGTATTCCATGTAAATGAACATTAAAGTCGAATAATAAGTTTCTAGACACAGATTTTTTATTTTTTTATTTTTTTTATTATTTTTATTTTTTATTTTGATGAAGAAACAAATTTTTATTGCAAAGAAACAATAAAAAAACAAAAGTGGACAAAAAGTCTGCAAGGGCACAAACAAAACAAGATAAATAGCACCATCACCCATACATTTAGAAACTATCAAAACAACACAAAACTAACTAATAGCTACATTCCAGTTACGCCAAACTTTTGAAAAAGACAAATCTCTAAATTTTGTAGTAACCGAAGCCCATAGAGACATTATCCCACATATCCTCCCTTCTACTGCCTTCGTTGTCCTAAAGAACAAAAAAGATGTCCAAAGCCTTTGGCTTTGTTAATTTCTTAATCTCCCTCATTGATTGGTCCTATGTGATGCTAGGTTCATTGGATGATAATATGTCTCCATATCATCCACATCTCCTTTGAACTTTTTGTGACTGGCAGAGGAAGTTAATCATGTGGCACTTGCACCATTTGCAGAAATGTGTATTTCTCCCTTTTCATGCATGTCTTTATGCAGTATTTGTGCAGTATTTGTGCTCGTGTGTCTAAATATGGAAGAAACTAAAGGCCCATTTGATAACCATTTTGCATTTAGTTTTTGGTTTTCACTTTTTGTTCTTGGGATATGAGAAAAGTATATGGGGGAAAGGTGGGATGAAGAGGGGTGATGCGAGTTTATTTTCCAAATTCTAAATTTCTATGCTATGAATCCAAAATGAGGGAATTGTGGCACGTTAATTTATAAATTCTGACTTTTGTCATTTGTGCAGTATTTGTGCTCGTGTGTCTAAATATGGAAGAAACTAAAGGCCCATTTGATAACCATTTTGCATTTAGTTTTTGGTTTTCACTTTTTGTTCTTGGGATATGAGAAAAGTATATGGGGGAAAGGTGGGATGAAGAGGGGTGATGCGAGTTTATTTTCCAAATTCTAAATTTCTATGCTATGAATCCAAAATGAGGGAATTGGGGCACGTTAATTTATAAATTCTGACTTTTGTCCAAATTCCAAGTTTATTTTCCTCGTCCAAACAGAGGAGGGTAAGTGAAAAGAACTGAAAGTAGTTTTTGGTTTTTGTAGTTTTCATTGTGTATATATACCTCTTCTATATCTGTCTCACCATCTTTCCTCCACTCTTCTATATACATCACTTCTCCCATGTATTTCCCCTTTTCTCTTGAACAAAAAAAAACTATTAACGAAATGATTATCAAACGGGATCTGAATTGATTAATTGTCCTTAAATATGCATAATATAGCATCAGTTGGCGTCTGGTTGGAAATTTTCCGCACCATCATTTTTGACATGAAGATAGTTGTCCTAATCTATGGCGTTCCTCCCCAGGTCCGAGTTCAGTCAGATCCAGCTGGACGTCTTGTTATAACAGGTCAACCAGAGCAGATTGACAATCCTTGGGGTATTACACCATTTAAGAAGGTATCTAATACTTCCTATCAGCTTCTATGGTTCGTGCTTGGCTCAGAAATAAATATATATTACCTGTGGGAACCCAAGGAACCCAAAAACCCAAAGATGGTTCATCCATATTTCCAAATTAGCGGAAAAGATGAAAATAATGAAGGGAAGAAAAAAAACACGGTATTGAATGGGGGATGTCATTGGCAATCCAAATAGTCATCATGGACTCCTCCCTAATAGAAATCAATGGAGGGAGAGGTGCATGATGACAATTTTGGAGTGCTAAAAACAATGCTGAACTGAATAACAAGAGCTTTATGGCTATGAAATGGGTAACTATATGAGATTTTCACAGTTTTGTTGGTATAAGAAACTTATACCTAAAATATGTTATCAGTTGATTATCTATGTACAGAGGCATGAAGTTATCATACAAGTTATTGTAAACATGTTTTATAGATGCATATGGTAATATGTAAAAATTGATCACAGTTACAAATACAGTGTATGTTACGTTTTACAGGTTGTGAGCTTACCTGGAAAAATTGATCCCCTTCAAACATCTGCTGTGGTTAGCCTGCATGGGCGGTTATTCGTGCGTGTTCCTTTTGAACAGTGATGGGGTTTGAAGTTTCATCGCATGTCGTGGATCAATTGAATAATTTTTTATGGTGTTGCAATATTATTGTTCTTGTTTTTCTTCTTTTGGGGTTGTGAAAGAAGGTTGCAACTAGTTCAGTTGGTGTTAATGCATGCTAGTTTAACAACTTGATTTACTTCCGATTTTGGGTTTGGTCTTTAAATTTTTCGCTTGCTCTTGGGATTTCTTTCGACGCGATATACGGCCCCGTCTACGTAAATGCACATTTTAGTGACGAGTAAAAGGTTCGATTTTTTTTTTTTAATATTTTAAAATAACTAAAGATGGGTGGGTTGAACTTGAAGCCGACTCGTTTAGCTGTCTATGTCGACATAAAGAACCACCTAGACCTTTCAAAGACTATTATCAAATGTAGCCCTCCTCTTAGCTCCTCTTTTTGGAGTTCAGCTTTTTAATTACAATAATTAATTCAAATTCAACGGTTAAATTTGAAAACATCCAAAAGTGGTTTAATTAACTAAAAATTTAAAGTATCAACTTAAAAATAATATATTATTGAGCTACGTTTAATCCCTTCGGTTGGAGATGATATATAAGTATAGCATGACACTATTTTTAAAAATGATATTTTGTAAGACTATAATTATGAATGTGAATAAATTAAGCCCTTCCAATTGGAGATGACTTTTACATATACAAGGCCAGGAGGGATCAAGAATGCTGCTTACATCCTTCTGAATGCTTGATTGCCTAAAACATGCCTCGATTCCTTGAGCATAATGGCCATGCATAAATGTGATAGGGTTGCATCTCAGGCTGCTTTATTTGTTTTTTATCTGAATACGATGGGCCAGTCCACCGCGTTTATTGGGTGGACCGATTCAAGTACGACTCAAGCCCGTATGTGAAGAATTTACAGGTAATGTTCATGCACCCATGCCATCCATGAACATGCATGAATCATAGGCATTTGTTGTACATATGTCATATGTATAAAGAAAAAGGCATGGAAATATGACAAGCATTATATTAATATTATTATGTTTGAAGAAGAAACTGATGAGAGGGAAATTAAATTGCTCTCAGATTTCTTGCATGTAGAATGCATGTAGTGGTATAAAACGAGAAGAATATCCACATTATTATTATTTTCTTGAAATGTTGCAAAGTCTCAGAACTTGAAAGTAATTACTTTAAGCAATCGAAAAAGAAACAAAATGAAAACAAGGCGTGATAAATGTCTTTGTTCAACAAGCAATACGGTAGTCTACTAAGTCTAGCTCGGGTTCTCCCTTGAAAATATATATGCACATTAAATTCTTTACCATTTGAGAGACTTTGATAAAACAAACAACATGCAAACAACTGATATTGTTTTCCTTTTTCATACTAGACCACTAGAAAAGTTTACCCTTAGCCAAAAAATATGTTTCCCGGTAACGAATTCGCTTCCGTATGGCTGACCGGTGGTTACTAACAATTGGATGTTATGCTCACTTGTTTTCATTAATGAACGAATATGAAAAATTCTCTAATTAAATTTCCAATTACTAGCAAAACATTCTTGGAGATGACAATGCATTGGAAAATTTGAACCCAAATCTTATATTTGAGTCTCATATGAGTCTAAGGTTCTCTATGCCACTTAGGCCATCTCCAATCGAAGGAGGGCCAAAAGGCTCTCTTTAGCCCTGTAGCCCTCTAAGAAATTATATTTTAATGAACAGTGCTAGACCATATTTCATACCATCTCCAACCAAAGGGGCCAAAGGGCCATAGACCAAACATAACCCTGTAACAAAAAATCATCTCAAACCAAGAGGGCCAAAAGGCCATAGGCCAAACATAATTTATTATTTTAATTGAATTAATATAGTAATTAAATTAAACTACATTATTAAAATAAGATTTTCGGACATATTGGAAGATTATTGAAAGAGGTGGCCATTTGAAAATTATTGAAAAAAATTAAAGGAAAGATTATTGGAAGAAAATAGAATGTGAAGAATTGAAATAAAATGAGGTAAGATAGTATGTAATGGTGAAAAGTATATGAGAAATGGTGTAGGAAAAAAATTCGTCAAAAAAAAAACACACAGTGGGCTGGGCTCATCGGGATGGCTGGAGATGGCTAGCTCGCTAGCCTAATTTGGTGGTTTTGGCTCGGTGGGGTACACAAGCCCTTTGGCCTAGCCCTCAGTTGGAAACGGTTTTCGTGTCATTTCGAGTTATTTTTAGCCCTATGGCCCTATGGCCGGATCGGTTGGAGACGGCCTTAGGAAAAGTATTATTTAACCAAGAAAAATGAGAATCGAGTCCAATTATGAAAACTCAAATATGAAGTTTAAGTATAAAGTTTTTTTCTCCAATGCAAACCCAAAACGAGTTGTACGATTTGAATCTTGGCATTGGAGAAGAAAACCAAACTACATAATCCACCACCTTTTTGGGACCCAACTATTTTAGTCTTTGCATTGGAGATGCTCTCTTACTAGCTAGGACCTCAAGTTCCACACAATCCTAAGGTGGGATGAGAGACGGATGTTCATATGGTGCAGCTAGCAAAGCATCTCTAAGCGTACTGTATTTACGTTTTATAGTCTCTATTGCTGTAACGTTTTGGTCAGCGAACCAAAATTTGAAGAGATCTGGAGATGCTTTTGGCCTCGTTTCTCGAACTCAGTTTCTAATTCTAGGGTTTTGCTTTTTTTCTGTTTCTGTAAGGGAAGACCGAAACAGGCTTTTGAAGGTGCTTAAATACTTTGGCTATATATCTTGTGTAACCGTAAAATCAACTCAAGGAATCAAAAAAGAAAGAGAGAGAACTGCATGGAACACAAAGATCTTGTAAGTGTGAAGCTAGCTACCTGCCCAGTACAGGAATAAAATAGATATTATATGAATAAATGTGTTTTTGTGTTAACACAAATTAAGATACAAATATCCAGATTAATAAGGATTAGTAGGTTTTTTTTTGTTTTTTTGGAGAACAAGGATAGTAAGTTTGTGCGCATGATATGCTACTCAAAGTTAATTAGAAATCCAGAAGCAGAAATTTAATTTATATTCAATCAAGAAAAAAAATAATGTACTAGTACTGCCGGAGAAGGATGGATATCATATTAGAAACCACATTAATAAACCCTAGAAATGTGCATCGATCATCACAGAACAATTAACTAACATTTTTGAAATTAATAAACTAGCTAGTATATATAATTATAATTATAACAGAGGATTAAATCAATTGCTAGCTAGGTAGAGATTGAAGAAAGTAGCAATTGATTAATTTTACTGACCTTGCAAAGTTTGTTTGTTTTACATCGACAGTACTGATCAACACCAAGCTAGCTAGCTAGCCCTTCATCGACATTGGCAACTTTAGGCTCAAGATATATGATCAAGATCACCGTTCTTTCGTTCGTAGATGTGCATATTTATATATGAATACGAAAGCGTCTGAAGTTATCACCGTACATATCTCATGAAATCACTCCATAATTAGCACCAAAGTAGTACTAGTACTAAAACGGAGGCCGCGGAGTACTTCCACTTCCACTTCCACCACCCCATCCGAAGAAGTCACTCCCCGGGAAGGGATAGTTGGCCGCCATATTTCCTCCCAAATTAAAAAGCCCAGCACCTCCACCTCCACCTCCACCTCCGCCGCTACTTCCAGCAGTACCATCACCAAGACCGCCAGACACCCCAGAAGATTGGGACCCCGTGGGTTGATGGATTTGCAAGCTGCCTCCGCCACCACCACCAGTAGGAGTAGTAGTTCCCTCTTCCGGATCATCCAATGGCAATCTCTCAAACACCGCATTTGCAAAAGACGCAGCCATCAAAACCACAGGCCCGGAGGCCATCAGCGGTCCCACCACGTTTCCTCCCACCACTTGTCCCTGCCCCCCGGACAAGAATATGGAGAGTCCGCCGGCACCGGGAGGAGCCGGAGGGGGAAGCACCGTACCGGAGAGCGATAGTAACTCGAAGCGTCCGTGAAGAGTCACCACGCTTCCCGGAGGAGCAGCTGGCTGACGCAGGGTGACGTTGGTGACAGTGCCGCTGCCGCTGAGCACGCAGACGCCTCTGCCCCTGCGCCTGGCGTAGATGGAGACGCTGTCCATGATGTCGGCCCCATCGGAGACCTCAAGGACGTGGGAGCGGAGGGCGTTGGGGCTGTCGCGTGTGACGATGATGGGAGGCTTGGGTTTGTTCTTGGAGCCTGCAGGACGGCCTCTGGGACGGCGGGTGGAACCACCAGTTCCACCTCCGCCTCCACCGCCACCAGAACTGGTTGCGGCGGTATCGGAAGATTCGATCTTAGTAATATTGTGGTCTTGGTCGTCGTCCTGGTCATCATCATCATCTTGTTCTTCTTGTTGATGATGATGTTGTTGTTGTTGAGGAATAATAGGATGGTGATGGAGTTGTTGGAGTTGGAGGTGGAGTTGGGGCCTGAAGAGCGGGTGGACATAGGGAGAAGCAGTTGAAGTTGGGGCTGATGAGGCGGCAGAGACCGAGGCTGACTCATTTATATTGTACCCTGCCATCGCATTCTCCCACCACTTACTATTATTTGCCAGAGCTTCCTCTCCTTTTCACTGATGAAATTACTTGACTAGATCCAGCAGATGTTCACAATACATAAAAGAGAGTCAGAGAGAGTGGGTAGTCATATATACATCGATCGGTTACTCTTAGTAACCTAGCAGTTAAATTGTTACCTTCAACTAGATGAGTGATTTAGGCTGTTTTTGCACAGTCTTCTGTACTATATTCAACGTCAGGCAGCCAGACAACAGTTACAGTTGCAGTTACATACAAATATACGAGTCAACTGCTGCACCCCCAGAAAAACTGACGATATTCAATTCCCAATCCCAAATAAAGCTAGCTAGTCAGTTAAGCTTATATCTAGCTTAATTAGCAAGTTACAACAAAATTACAAGCCGCCAAAGATCCAAAGCTCCAGTGAGACTCGACTGCCGCTGTAACGTTGCTGTCTGTGTCTCCTGGGGGATCAAATATCAATCATGGATGATCGATCAGGTCTTCAAACAAATAAAAGGGATCCGAGTGATATGCCACGATTGAGCTTGAGCTGTGGACTACTTGTGTGACCAGAAAACCCACGCGCTTCCGATCAGTTTCTGAACTGAACTTGCAAATTTGGAGCTCCTCGATCTGTGAATATCATATATGAATATGAAAATGGGGGAGTGTGAGAGAGAAGAGAGAAAGATACGAGAGTTTTGAGGAGGGGTTGGTGGAAAAGCGTGTGCCCAAAGCACAATTCAAGCAATTACCAAGACAAAAACAAAAGACAATCGCATTGCATTGGAGAGATTTTTTAGTGTGCTGGAAACACAGTTTGTATATTAAGTGTCAGAGTATAAGTGGTTGAAATTTTTTTTAGTATCTAACCATTTGTGTTATAACATTTATATATATAATTTGTATTATAACATTTGATGTAGCATATCGTGTTCTCATTTCACTAAAAAATTTCTCATTACATTGCATTACGCACACTTTACCCCATCTACTTTTCCAACCAAATGCTAAGTTCCAGTTTTTGTTTTATTAGTGTGATTAATTGTTAGAATATGAGCATAAGTGTAGTTATGTGTATTTTGGCCGGATGTTTGTGTTAAAATATGGGCCTGCTACTGCTAGAGTTGTGTCCTGCTAGGGTTTAGGCCATGTAAGAGAAGTATTGAAGGTAATCTAATTTCATTCACTGCTTCTTTACAAAGAGTACAAGATTTATACAATATGCAATAGGCTATTCTAGGAAGTCAACTTTACATGAATTACACGGAATAATCTATTCCTACAATTAAGGAAAGAAAGCAATCTTCAGTGATACTCCAAGATATGTCGCTTAATACTCCCCCTCAAGGTGGAGTGTGAATGTCAATCACACCCATCTTGCCAAGTAATGATCGAAACACCCCTTGTCCAAGCGGCTTGGTGAATATATCCGCTAATTGTGCTCCAGTTCGGACATAAGCTGTCGTGATAACTCATGACTGAATACGCTCACGAACAACATGGCAATCAATCTCTATATGTTTAGTACGCTCGTGGAACACGGGATTGGCTGCTATATGTAGAGCAGCTTGATTGTCACAATATAGTTTTGCTGGCATGCGATGATCAACTTGCAAGTCAGCCAACAAATATTTCATCCATGTAAGCTCACATGTTGCAGAAGCCATGGCACGATATTCTGCTTCTGCTGAAGACCTAGAAACGGTAGTTTGTTTCTTAGTCTTCCAAGACACCAATGCACCTCCAAGGAATATGCAATAACCCGTAATGGATCTTCTTGTAATTGAACATCGAGCCCAATCAGCATCACAATAACCAGCCAAGTTTAAGTCCCCATTTGAAGGAAATAGAAGTCCTTGTCCAGGTGCCCCTTTCAAGTATCGTAAGAGACGATGAACTGCATCTAAATGTGGTTTTCTTGGTTGTTGCATGTATTGGCTGAGTACATGAACTGCATATGAAATTTCTGGCTTGGTGATCGTGAGGTAAATGAGTTTACCAACAAGCCTCCTATACTTCGAGGCGTCATGAAGAATTTGCCCCTCCGTTGGGGATAATTTCAAGTTTTCTTCCATGGGAAAGTTTGCAGGTTTGGCACTAAGTAAACCTGCTTCATCATGGATATCAAGTGTGTATTTCCGTTGAGAGATAGAAATACCTTGAGAAGACCGAGCCACTTCTACACCGAGAAAATACTTTAATGGTCCAAGGTCCTTGATGCGAAAATGAGTATGAAGAAACCGTTTAAGATCACGAATGGCTTCTTCATTGTTTCCTGTGATAATCATGTCATCGACATAGGTTAGTATGGCTGTGAATGAGTGATCATGTACCTTGGTAAACAAGGAATAATCAGCCTTGGATTGTTGATAGCCAGCTTGGTGTTAGCTATGGAAAACTTGTGAAACCAGCTACGAGAGGCTTGTTTGAGCCCGTATAGCGACTTGTTAAGTCGGCACACATTATGCTCCCCCTGCCGACGAAGATTGGGAGGCAGCTGCATATAAACTTCTTCCTCAAGGTCCCCATGGAGGAAGGCATTTTGAACATCCATTTGGTGGAGAGACCAATGACGAACAGAAGCCACGGCTAAAAGGCAACGAACCGTGATGAGTTTGGCGACAGGGGCGAAAGTCTCTTTGTAATCGATACCTTCACGTTGTGTAAAGCCCTTGGCAACAAGGCGAGCTTTATAACGCTCAACAGACCCATCGGAATGGTACTTGATCTTATAGACCCACTTGCAACCAATAGCTCGATGACCAGGGGGAAGTCGAGTGAGAGTCCAAGTATGATTTTGTTCCAAAGCCAAGAGTTCGGATTGCATGGCATCTTGCCATTTAGGATCACTGTTAGCCTGCTCAAAAGTAGTAGGTTCGACAATGGTAGAAATGGCACAGGTAAAAGAGCGATGGGAAGAAGAAAGATGAGCATATGAAACATAGTGTGATAAAGGGTAGCGTGTACCTGACATGGAAGAAGAGGTGGCACTGGGAGCAAGCGAGTGGACATGATATAAATGGTAGCCCTGAAGTCGCACGGAGGGTTTAGGGGAACGGGTGGAGTGGCGAGTGGCAAGAGGAAGGGGCGAAGGAGGGGCCGCAGTGGGAAGGGTGTGGTGGGGGGTGACGGTGTTGTGAGAGGTGACGTTGTCGAGGGTGTCTGGGGAAGGCATGGTGTTAAGGGGTGGTTGGGGGTTGGGGTTTGTGGCAGGTTGAATGTCTGGGGAATGAGGTGATAAAGATGGTGTAAGGGTAGGATCAATGGGTAAAGGTAGAACAACACTATCAAGTTGATGATCTGGTGGTTGGGAAATAAAAGGGAATGTGTCCTCGTGAAAAACCACATCACGGGAAGTAGAAAATTTGTAGGTAGTTAGGTTATACACACGGTACCCTTTTTGACTAAGAGGATATCCAACAAAAATACATTTGCGAGCACGTTGATCAAATTTGTGTGTGGGAGTGAGATTCATGGCATAGCATAAGCAACCAAACACACGCAAGTGGGTGAAATCAGGAAGAGTACGATGTAAAAGCTCGAAAGGAGTTTTGTGGTGAAGGAGTGGTGTGGGCAATCGATTGATTAAATAACATGTTGTTTGAATACTTTCCCCCCAAAATGTTAAAGGTAAGTTGGCTTGAAATCGTAGTGCTATCCCAACATTTAAAAGATGACGGTGTTTTCGTTCAACTACCCCATTTTGTTGGGGAGTAGAAGGACAAGAAGTGTGAAAGACAATACCCTTGCTAGTAAAAAAGGAACGTAAAGAAAGGAATTCAGCTCCATTATCTGCCCTAATTGTCTTGATCATACAGTTAAATTGTGTTTGAACCCAAGCAATAAAGGAACATAACAAGCTTTGTGTTTCAGACTTTAAACGCATAAGATGAATCCAAGTAAAACGTGAATAATCATCAACAATGGTAAAAAAATATCGAGCCCTCGAATGGGAATTGACTCGATGGGGTCCCCAAATGTCACAATGTATTAAATCAAAAGGTGCTTGAGATGAAATGAAACTTGATGGAAAAGATAGACGAGTTTGTTTAGCAAGAGGGCAAATATCACACGAATGACTAGAATCAAACATGATAGTTGGAACTTGCTTGGTCATTATATCGCTTGCCCAGGCCAATCGTCCTCCTCGTATCCATGTCCTGTATCACACAAAAGGTGGGAAAGATAATCACTATGCATTGTAGAGACTCGGTGAGTTTGCTAACGGATAATAAATAGACTCGAAAGTTGGGAACATGTAACACATCATCAAGTTTAATAAGAGAAGTGGCTTGGACAGAACCAACATACTCTATACTGGCTTTTCCCCCATTAGGCAATTGTACAGAATCAGACATGAATTTCTTGTCAAGCAAGTGAGGTGAAGGAGATATATGATCCGTTGCCCCACTATCAATGATCCAATATAGGGTTTTCTGTGATAAGGCTTCTGATGTATTAGACGAGGGTGTAAGTGTACCTGTGACGTTTGCAAAATGTTGTGGATTACCATCAAGGTTGGTTTTCTTGAGCATGGCCATGATTTGATTGTATTCTTCAGTAGTGAACTTGGGCCCGTCACTGGTGGTTCCATGGTGATGCTGATCAGTGACCTTGGCAATTTCATCGCCAGTCTTCACTTGGTTGGCCACATGTTTCTTCCTGTTTGGAGGAGTCACCTTTTTGCCATGGTATTTATGCCCTGGTGGAAAGCCGTAGAGGTAGAAGCATCGATCTACGGTATGATATTTTTTATCACAATATGAGCATTTAAGGGAAGAATTACCTCGTTGTGCAGCAAGTTCCCTGTTGCTTGTCACATTCATAGCATGCAAATTGTTGTTATGACGAGTGAGAGATACCTCCACTTGCTTCTCTTGTTGTAAGACAAGAGAATATGCTTTCCAAGTGTCTGGGAGTGGCTGCATCAACAAGATCTGCCCATGTACTGCGGCATAGGATTCATTTAACCCCATGAGGAACTGCATCACTCTTTCTTTTTCATCACGTTCATTAATCTTCTTCAAACCCCCACAAGTGCACGTCGGGGGCTCATGATAGGACGTCAGTTCATCCCACAAGGCCTTCAGTTTCGTGTAGTAGACTGAGATTGATTGTTGCTCCTGTCTGTGCTCAACAATTTCTCTCTTAATTTGATAAACACGTGAATCGTTCCCTTGGGAGAAGCGATCACGCAAGTCGGCCCACATATCTGCTGCTAATGTGTAGTAGGAGACACTGCTTGCGATGTCCTCATGCACAGAATTCAGGATCCATGCAAGGACCATGTCATTGCATCGTTGCCACAATGCAAATTGTTTATCTGTTTCAGCGGGGGGGGGGTCAATGGTTCCATCGACCAAGCCTAGTTTGTTCTTAGCACTTAGACTGATGCGCATAGCACGGCTCCATGTGCTGTAGTTGTCTCATTGAAGGGTTTTGGAGACCAAGATGTTCCCAGGTTGATCAGAAGGGTGTAATAAGAACGGGTTCGAGAGGTCAGCAGCCATATCTGATGATTTTGTGCTGGCTCCTGATTCACTCATGATGATACTGTTTTGTTGTGGTGCGGAAACGTTGGGGGGGTATTCAGAGTCACCAGAAACGGTGCTCTGATACCATGTTAAAATATGGGCCTGCTACTGCTAGGGTTGTGTCCTGCTAGGGTTTAGGCCGTGTAAGAGAAGTATTGAAGGTAATCTAATTTCATTCACGGCTTCTTTACAAAGAGTACAAGATTTATACAATATGCAAGAGGCTATTCTAGGAAGTCAACTTTACATGAATTACACGGAATAATCTATTCCTACAATTAAGGAAAGAAAGCAATCTTCAGTGATACTCCAAGATATGTCGCTTAATAGTTTGAGTTCAAATTGATTTAGAGAAGTCTTATTGGAAGATGTTTGAGTTCAAATTGATTTAGAGAAGTCTTATTGGAAGATGTTTGGATGTTCTAGTACTATGACACAAATGTGATTATCGAGGGTCAATTGCCGTTGGAAAAAACATTTTGTTTTTTCCGAAAGGAAAAAGCCCTCGTTGGTCCTCGTAAATGCTTCCAATGGAAATACATCTATTTCTATCAATGATAGGAAATACATCAATACTTTCAACCTACATGACCCATTGTTAATAGTTAACTTTTCGTCGAAATTGAAGTTTAAAAAATGACCAACTTATTTCATTTTCTATTTGTCAACGTCGTCGCAAATACTTTTTTGATGGTTGGAAAGACTATTATTGAGGGCAATGCTTTGTCGAAAATTGGGCATTTTCGGCATAAAAACGTTGGAAAAAATCAGATTCTGTCATAAAAAAGAAGGAAGTGTTGCAGTCATATTTAGAATAGGAATGTGATTGTGTAAATCCTAGTAGATCTAGGAATATCTCTTATATTCCTATTAGAAGTTGAATACCTATTAAGAATTGTAATCCTAAAAGGGTAAGGATTTTACCTATCCTACTATAAATAAAGGATTTAACACACACCTTACAATTAAATCGCTTTGTTCTCTTTCTTGCTACCGCCGACCCCCTCTCTCTCTATTCCTTAGATAGCTCAGTTAAATAGGCATACAACACGTTATCAGGACGCTTTTATCAGAAGTTGAGGAATTGACGGATCGTAGGAGAAGGCTATCTTCCACAAAATTCAAAGGCTTTTATTTGTTTTCTGCCAATCAGGTACGCTTAAAATAAAGAAAGATATTTGAAACGTTCATGAAGCATGAAACCATTCCCCATGATGCATGAACCCCTCTATGTTTATATTTTCCTTACAATATATATATATATATATATATATATATATATATTGTATATGTTTCATATAATTGTCAATATATATATATATACATATATATATGTTTCATGCATTACGCAATTAAATTGCTATGTGGAATTGTGAGTCAAAGAATATTAATAAATTAGAAGCATGTTAGGGTTTTTCAAACACTAGTGAATTCGAAAAAGAGAAAGGAAATTGGGATTTTTGCGGCAGTACCGCCGTGACACCACCACAAGGACAACTGTGCTATCCTGAAGCCCAGCCGCGTGGAGACCCATTTGAGATGACGTCGTTTGACGCTTGGACCTTTGTCAAAACCTTTGGGCTTCACTGCATACTATGGACAACCAGGCCGAATGCCTGGTTTAGTTTCTTACCACGGGCCTGTAGCCCCGACCCACACCAGCTGTGCTATTGGGCTTAGCCATTGCCACAACCCAGGTTTCTATCAGCCAGCTTATGGGGCTGGGCTTAGTCTCTGTGGCCCAAAATCGAAACCCTGCTGCGGCTAGGGTTTCCTCGCACACCCCCAAGCCTCTGGGCTTGCTCTCACACGTTGGTCTCGGCCCAACCACGCTAGCAACTTGATGTTGGGCTTCCTATCTCTCGGCCCGTGGCCTACAACCACATGTGGGCTACTTTTGCAACCTTAACCCTGAGCCCAAAAGCTTTTAGGGCTTTGCCCTACTTATGGCACCCAGCCCAAATACCATTAGGCTATGGTTTTTTTGGACCCAATGCTAATTTTTGGCATTATTTTGCTTCCACGATTGACCATGTATGGTCCCAATCTATTGAATTAATTAAAAGTGACATGCAGTCCATTAATCTGATAATTAAATCCAAAATTATTGACCTGAAGATCACTTTTGGACATTATTGATTCAATTTATTTCTATACTTTGAACCGTTGACATACTTTCGTAGTAACGAAGCTCTCACACTTGAGTTCTTGAAGAAACCTAAATCCACTACACTTAAATCAGCATATTGCATTTTGTGTTTCTTGCAGGAACCTCTCATTTATGAACTAATCGTTCATAAAACTAAATTGAACCTGTAGTTTCATATTTAGTGCTTTTGAAACCCGAAGTTTTCATTCAAAATTTACCACATGAACCTGTAGCTTTCATGCATAAATTAAACCAATACATGTTTATAGAACTCGAATGTTCTATATGTCTATGGATCACCATGACTAATCACATTTTTTTGTACCCTCTATTTTAGGGACATGTTGAACTTGAACAAGCTCGATTTCACCGCTCTGGAAGTCTCTAGAAGAAACTACCTGAAGTGGGTTTAAGATGTGAAGCTTTATCTCACCGCAAAGGGTATTAGAGCCACCATCAAGACACCTACCAACGACAAACCTGCCGACGAAGCTTAGAAAGCTACTGTAATGATCTTCATTTGAAGACACATCCATAATGCTCTGCAGACCAAGTCCCTCGCTTAGGAGGACCCACTCACCCTCTGGCTTGCTCTGGCTGACTGTTTCGATCACCAGAAAGACATATACTTGCCTAAAGCAAGACACGATTGGAAGCATATTTGCTTCCAAGACCTTAAGTTCGTGAATAAATACAACTCTGAATTTTGTAAAATCCGATCACTATTGAAGTTCTGTAAAGTGGAACTAACCGAATCAAATCTCCTGGAGAAGACCTATTCGACCTTATATGCCACAAATATTGTCCTGCAACAACAATATAAGGCACATAAATTCACCAAATTTTTGGATTTGATCTCTGTACTACTTCTCGCTAAAAAGAAGAACTAGCTTTTGATGAAGAATCATCAAGCTCGACCGACTGGCTCGAACGTCGCCTCTGAAGCGTATGCGACCAATTCTAGCAGCCACAAACGACGCAAGAATCATCGTGGCTGTGGCAATGGGCGGCAAGCCCCACCACGGGCCCAAGGTCCATAGAATCAAGGTCTACCCAAAGGAGGAAATGTGACCCAACAACGTCCATCCCTTGCCCCTAAGGCCCTGAACTTCAAGAACAAGGGAAAAGCTACAGTTCAACCGGTTTCCACTAAAATGGACATGTGCTACCGCTATGGATAAAAGGATCATTGGTCACACGTATGCTGAGGTAACCCCGAGGCTATTGCCAAGTATCATTCCCGTTGTGAGTCTAACTTTGCACATGTGGAACATCAGGAAGATGCTACTACATCAATGGAGATATCGAATTTTCAAGAGGTGTCAGCTCCTATGGACGAATAAATTAGACATGTTTTAGGGTGTTTACCCATAGTGGCTAAGCCCACTAGGAGTGGCCTGCCCCTCTCCCCTATTTTTTTAAGGTTATGGTTTAATTTTGAACAATTTTTCTAAGTATTTGAAATAATTTGTTTGGTTTTGGTTTGTTTGAATTATGAATTGTTATTTGATGGATATTATTTCTCGAATTGCTTAATTGAATGAATGGAATTATATTTATACATGTGACAAATTCAATCAATTTATTTCTAGGTATATCTAGCGGGGAAGTTAATTGTCTGGCTGATAGTGCTACCATGCACACCATCTTGCGTAAGCGACACTATTTTACTGACTTTATACCCAAGAAAGCACCTTTGACAACTTTTTCAGGCTCATCTAACCTGATTGAAGGATATTGAAAAGCCCATATCATGTTGTCCAATGGTACAATCTTAACCATTAAAGAGACACTCTATTTTCCACATTCCGGAAGAACATTGTTGAGTTTTAGAGATATTCGAGATAATCAATATCATATTGAAATCACTGAAGATAATGGTTCTGAATTTCTTTGTATCACTTTGTAAAAATATGGCCAGAAACGTATTCATGAGAAGTTGGAACATCTCTCGAGTGGGTTGTACATCACAACCATTTGCGGCATAGAAGCCCACCATATGGTCGACCCTATGCCTGAGTTCTAGAATACTTTGCTACTTTGGCATGACCGTTTGGGACATTCTGGACGTGACATGATGCGCCGTATCTTCAAAACATCTCGTGGGCATCGGTTACCTCCCTATGTTGGATTCCCACCATGCAAAGCGTGTTCTTTAGGGAAGTTGAATACTCAACTACGTACCAAAATGGGTCGTCAGAGAAAAATAAGAATCTATGTTGGTTATGATTTGCCATCAATTGTTCGCTATTTAGAACCCTTGACAGGAAATCTCTTTACCGCACGTTTTATGAATTGTCACTTTGATAAGATAGTCTTCCCATCGTTAAGGGGGAGAAAAGCATGCTAACGTTCTTGGAGAATGTCATGAATTGTCGTGGTATGCTCCCACTATGTCTCATTTAAATCCTCGTACTGCCTAGTCTGAAACTGAAGTGCGACGAATTATAGATCTTCATAGCATTGCTCAAAGCATGCTAAATGTTTTTAATGATCTAGCAAAGGTGACAAGATCACATATACCTACTGCAAACGCACATGCAAGGATAGATGTACCCTACATACGTCGCAATCTCGCATGGGAAGGTTGGACTGTCCCTGAAGGTGGGGAGGCCGCACTTTCCATATGGCCCGGTATATTGGCGGCTAGCCAATAATCTGCTCTGACCCTGAAGTGTGGCAGACCCCTTGGTTCAAAGGATTCATAACCTCGGAA